GGTGTTGAGATTTAAATTTGTCTTTAGCATTTTACATTTAGCATTAGTAAATATGAACAGTATTTCCCTGAGCATTACCCAGAGAACGTAGATCCTTTTATTAATCAATAAAAAAATTGCATTTTTGAATTTCCAGTCTACTTATGGCAAGTCTAATAAAACTTAATTTATTAGGGTCTAATAAAATTTAATTCTTGTTTAATCAAACCACTAACTGATTTTTCTGTATTTCTCTACCTGTTAAGAGAACAAAAAACCCACAATGTGCCGTTTTCACTTTTGCTTCATGTGATTCACTGTTCTGTTTTATCAGGTGCATGAATATCTCAGGAGTAAGTTGTGTTCACTTTATGAGAACGACTGCATTTTCGACAAGTTTGAATGCTGCTGGAATGGCAATGACAGGTTAGTCAACCAACCTGAACCTGCAGTTCAGCTGATATTAGAAGAAAGACTTATTTTTAATTTCCTGAAATGCAAAATCATTCATAAATAATACTCCTTTTCCCCTTTTTCATGGATTATCATTGAGATCAGTACTAAAACTAGATCCTAAACAGCTCGTCGTGATTGTCTGTTTCTACAGCGTTGTGATGACTGGTTCCTACAACAACTTCTTCAGGATGTTTGACAGGGACTACCGACAGGACGTGACCTTCGAGGCGTCACGGGAAAACAGCAAGCCGCGGTCGGCCCTGAAGCCTCGCAAAATAAGCACAGGTGGGAAGCGCAAAAAGGATGAGATCAGTGTAGACAGTCTGGACTTTAACAAGAAGATCCTCCACACTGCCTGGCATCCGCTGGACAACATCATTGCTGTGGCCACAACCAACAATCTGTACATATTCCAAGATAAACTGAACTAAAAGCCCGTTAACCCACTCAGATCCCAATTTCTTCTTTAGCCCTCTTTTGCTCTCAGATTAAAACAAAATCCGTCTTAGGCCAAGCCCCTAAAACTTGATCAAATCTGTCCTTTTGATTATGTGAGAAGACTTACTTTGTAAATTGTGCCATACATCCAGCCAGGCCATAAAAAAAGTATAGTGTGCGGTTAAGTTTCTTCCATTAGAAGCACTCCATCCATCGAGCTTCCATTTGTAACTCCACTACATCCCAAACCAAAGGGAAAATCTACGTTTTATCGCTTGTTCGTGCCATATTGACATGATTCATTTGTCTGTTATTCCTACAAGTTAACTTTCTGTTCTTTTTGGTTTTGTCTTTCTGTCACCAAGCTCATTTTTGTACTGCCCTGAGTCATCAATACAAAGCTGTTGATTCTTTTATTTGCCCAACAAGTATCAAGTTGCCAAGTTCTTTCCCTGTGTACTGTATGATTACTGTTAAAGGACTAATTTAGCATTTCATTATGTTTAGCTCATTGTCTAAAAAAAACTTTGGATAAATGATATCAAAGTTAACAGAGTACGAATATTTTTGTTTTTTCTTTTTCTTTTTTTTTTTTTATTTTGACTCAGCTGCTTGTTTACATTCATCTCTTCTTTAAGAAAATCTCCTGGGTATGATTTTACATTTCTATAACACATTGCATCGAACATTTGGCCATTTGTTTCAATATAGGACACTTGGATTCATTCAAGAGCAGACTGTTAAAGCGGACTGTCGTTCGAGTTTAATGTTCACCACACACTCATTCAAGCGAACCCATATCGGTGACAGACAGAGCCATGAGATGTCCTTGATATTTTTATTCACTCAGGTTATGGGACAGCACTAGAGAAATGGGTGTAAAACCAAAATGTATGACAGGTTTTCTTACAGAAGTGTGTTTTATCACTGTAATTCTGCTGTGGTTGAGTTTGTAGTAAATGGAAGTAGGTGAAATGTTCCTTTTCTACATGTGTGAGTTTTGTCATGCTGCGCTCAAACTGTTTGATTTCCATTTCCCCAGGCCAGGCTTCATCTGCCTGTCAAAGCATCCTTTTTCATGCCGTTGCATATTGTACGGATAAAGTGTAGAAAGTTCAGCAGAGGTCCACTTATCTGGCCGATATTAGCTGAACTGCTGATACAAATTTTGGATTACTTTAGGTTTTGATTTTTTCTTTTATTTATTATTTTTTCTTTTTAGACTTTGAATAGCAGAAATGTGTTGTAGTTTTTTTTTTATTTGATAGAGATAACAGTTCTCAATTGAAAAGAAAAGGAAGTAAATCACAGTACATACTGTTGATTAATGCATTAATTAGACTGAAAATAATTGGGATTCTGAGTTTGATTTTGGGGGGAAGGTCTGTTTTTATCAGTGTTTGACCTGCTAATCGATTCGCCACCCAAACCGATCAAGAAAAACATTTTCTGATTCCATCTCCATTAATCTTAAATTTCCATCACTTCCTGTTAAGATCAGAAGGGGAAAAGTTTCAGACAGAAAAGCTTTCCATAGAAGTCTGGACACTGCTCACTTATTTGATGTGATCAAATGAATAAAAGCCTTTGCCTAACTCTTAGATCTTACCAAATAATGTTTTCAGGAAAAGTATTACAAATATCACTTTACCATAATTTTCCATGGAGGTTTTTTGTTGCATCAAGTGATGGCTGATCATGCCAAAGTATCTAGTCTTTATACACAACAAAGATGAAGCTCTCTTGCAGACAAAGTGCCCCTGATCCAGCGGGTCCAGCCTTGCAGTTGTGTGAGCAACCGTGCTTAACTCAGGACAAAAACCTGCGTTATATATAAATATATATATATATAAAAGATGATTCCCAGTGCCCCCATTTTTACTCTTGTGTGGCCTGTGGCACCAAAACGTTGTGCTGCTCCCAGCTCACCTTCTGTGTATGTTGTGTTGTTGCAGAAAAATTGCTTATCATCTGCATCTAGATTTTATTTGTAGATTTTTCTATATAAGAAGTGTTTTGTACTGTACCTGATAAAAGAAGCAGAAGAAGGATCACTATAGCTGATTTATTTTTGTATAAATTAAGGCAATATCATTACAGTCTAATCACTGTAGTTTCTTTACCTGTCTGCCTCAGGCTTACTGTACAGGGCAGGTCATTCAAAAGTCAGGTTTCCCTTTGCTTTTTTTGCTCGTTATAACAAGTCGACACATCACAAAAGTGCATCAGGTTTGAAGCGGCGTGCCCAAAGAAAAGTATTTTCAGGTGTCAGTACCTCCTGCCTGATGATGAGCACTATTACTGTACTCTTGCCAGCTACGTTTTTTTTTTTTTGTTGTTGTTTTGTTTTTTTCAATCTAACTTATTTAGAGGGTTCAACGTTTTGATCTCATGTGAATCTTAATATTTAGTTTTTGTGCCATAGTTTTGCTTGATGAACAATTCCTCTGGCTGTGTAAGACCACATTGAAACAGCATTTTCATCCTCTTTGCGGCTTAGCCAGGTCACTTGACTACGTGGAGCGATGATTGTTGATATATGTGGCACGTGCGGCTCTCCTTTTGCAGACTTATTTGAAGAAAATCTGTGAAGCACTTGGCGTCAGAGAGGAGGGTCACCAGTTTAAGCTAAAGCTCCATGCGTTGCCTGCTCCAGCTGCGGTCCATGTTGCATAGAAAACTTGATGGCACGTTTTCTATGAACAGCACCGCTGCAATGAAAATGTCACAAAGAAGTTACAGGTTATCTTTTCCAGTTCATAAATAATACATTGATGTTTTTATTTAGGCACTGAGCTTCTTCGTCCACTGGATCATATTTGTGAAAGTGAATGTGTCACTCCGTTCTCAGTATGATTATTAACTAATGTTGAGTTCCAGTCTCTCAGGGTTCTGGGTTGTGTCTTTTGATAATAAGATAAGTTTCTAGTATTTTTTATTTTGTGCAACTTTCTTTTGTTTTTGTAATGCAAACTTTGTATTTTGGCTGGGTTTTTTTCTGGATAAACGAATCTTTTCTATTTCAACTCTTTTCTTCCATTTATTGAGCGAATCTCCATCTTCTTTTAAAATAGAAAATAAGCGATATAACATTCTGGTGCATAATGATGCATCAAGAAACTGCTTACCAATAGAAACTGGCATTAATCTGAGCAATTAATAAAAACATTTTCATCATTCTCCCTACGTTGTCTTAATACAAGCTGTCCCTGGAGGCTGTAATGTAAAGAACAAAGATGTTCACAAGAACCCTGTTGCCTTTTTTTTTTTTTTTTTTTTTTTTGTCTTTTAGAGTGTTACCAATAAATAAGATAATAATCAGTTACACTTGTGAAACTTTCTGGTTCACCCAGAGTGCTCAGGGGAATCTTCTGCTGCTCTGTCCCAAACCTTACACCTTCAAGAAAATGGGATTACCAGAACTGAAACAAAAACTTCTATTTTGCTGTAAATCACCTTCTTGTTTCTTTCTCTAAACAGACGGCTTTGATACAAAACTCCAGGTTATTAAGTAGAGTTTCCCGGTGTGCATACTGACTGTGCATATCATTTGCTAGAGTAGAGTTACACAATTTTGTCCACTTGAAGGAGCATTAAAACATGTCTGATGTGTCACAAGGATGGTAAAACAAAATGCACTTTGTTTCTTTTCTGTGAACTTCATTATTTTTTGTGTGTGTGTTTTATTTCAAGGGGATGGAGAGTTTTGGTGATCTGTTTGGGAGTAACTACTTATTGTTCACTGTACAGAGTTATTTGTCAAATGAAATATGGTACAGTGTAGATAACATGTAATAAGGAATTTCAAATTTGAATAATTAAATTACTGTGCTACTTTATTATTACTGTTTGGAGTTTTTTGGGGGGAACTGAGCGTTTCATAATTTCGTCTTTATGGAAAGTAGTGGACATTACAAATACATTTTTGAAAGCACTCAAACTAAAAAAAAAAATCTTTCCATACGAACACTTTGTAATCCACACATTCAACTTGCACGATGCATTTTACGTGTGTTTGCATTCTTTAACAGATTGCATTTGTACTTTCTAGTAAACAATTTCCAAAAACATAAATGTTCACCGATCCTGAGACTGTCGTTGAAATCTCGCAGCTGCGCCTGCGCAGACCCTAGTTAAGCGTCAGAACTATAGTCAACAAACATGTCTACCGCTCCTGCTCCTCAAAACAATAACGAAGATCCCGGACTGCAAGGTAGGTCGTCATTGTACATGGTACGTTTTCCTTCATAAGAAAATCGTACATATGTTCCTGACTAATGTGTGAGGATGTAGTTACAAAGAAGTAATGGTAAAAGTTAGATTGGGGACGGGGTTTCCTTGTCATCGCGTTGGGATGGAGAACATGTTCTGTACGTCACAACAAATCAGCCAATCGCAGCGCGGCACACGGTTGATTGACACCGGAGCAGCCAATCGTTGCTCGAGGTCTGAGTGGGTTTAGCTTTAGCCCAAAAATGAAAACAAGTTTGGCACAAAAGGCGAATTTAATCGTCACGTTTGTTCCCGTTAGGATATTTTTGTTTCTTTAAAACGTGCACAGATTTATCGCAGATATTTAAACTCATTGTGTAAAACTCCCTCCTTTCAAAATGCAGTTATATTGCAGCACAACATGTAAAAAAAAAAAGTGAGGTAAGATTTTGCCCGAGGGTAAACAAATAACACGCATGCAAAAATGACACTTGGTGTTTAGCCTGGCGTGGAGGCTTTTTAACGCCTCGGGGCGTCGGGACTCGCTCTGTGTCAGGAGGCAGCTGGAGCAGCGACACGTCTCTGCAGGCTGGCTCCCACTGGCCGCCACACTTATGCAAGACCCCAAAGGAGCAGCGATGTCAAAATTGGTCACAAGATGTGACGTCGAGTCCGCGTTAATTCATCCTCATATCTTTAATGCCCAACTAGCTCAGAACAGGGAAGAGGCGCCTCATGCTACCATAAAGCATGAGACGAGCTGGTTGCATAACTCTGCTTGTGGGGCAGTGGCACAAAGACCTGGAAGGCACCGTGGTTGAAACAGTGTTTATAATGTGTGTTTTCAATAAATCAGGGAATCAACAAAAAGTTGGGTGTTTTTCCCTCATAAAGCAAAAACCCATAGAGTTCATTGCACAAAGAGTGACACATTCCAAGTGTTTGAGTTTAGGTAGCGGTAAATTAAAACTCAACAGTTCAAAAATTTTAAATACTGCACAAGACCAATTTTGAAAAAAAAAGCGTCTTTAATCAAAAAAATATTGGCTTGTTGTTGGAAAGTATTTCGGTGTGGTGTATGCACTCAATACTAAATTCTTAAGGGCTCCTCTGGTTCTGCTGATGTGCCATTTCATGTCTGCCACTTGGCAATATTTTGTAAATTATCTAGAAGGTTTGATTCAGGAAAGTTTACTGCCCTATTAAGTACAGTAATACTATGTATTAAACCATTTTTTGGTGCTTTAGGCAGTGTGGGCTGATGTCAAGTTCAAATGGAAAATGGAAATCTGCATCTCCATAAAGCTTGTCAGTAGAGGGAAGCATAAAGTGCTGCAAAACTTTATGACTTTGCTGGCCTTGTACTTGGTAATGCACGTTGGCTGCTTTTTGAGCATGCATGCACAGACGTTTTCAGGGCGAAGACTGTAAATGTTGCGTTGTGGTACTCCTAAATCAGATAAAACATCAGAAGTGTATTTACCTGTTAAGGAGAGAAAGCACTGGACTGTTGCGCAGTGATTCAAGGTTCTCTTTTCAGATAAAAGTCAGTGTTGCATTTTACTTGGAAATCAAGGTCTCAGAGTCTGGATAAAAAGTGAAGAGGCACGGAATCCAAGATCCAGAGATGAAGTTTCCACAGTCAGTGATGATTCAGGGATTTGTGGTGTTTGCAGCGGTGCTTGTGCACCTCTGTCTGTGCTTTTCTTCAGTTTTTCTTTAAAATGCTCGAATACAGCACTCAACACACAACCGGCTACTTTGACAATAACATTTTAGAGCTTGTCCTGCTGGAGAACTGTCAAGTCAGCAGTCTTCCTCGTGACTGTGTAAACCACATTTCTATACAAAAAAGTTTTTTTTTTTTAAACTTTTTTTATTGTTGGTCCTATGCTATATTCCAATTTTATGAGAAATTGAGTGTTAAGTTTTAACCATTGTCATTAACTTTAACAAAATGAAATATTTGAAATATAGCACACAATATGTTTTAAACTTTTAAAATCTTTATTCTTGTTATCAAATGTAACTTCTTGATGATGTTCCAATTTGTTGAGCTGCACTTATAGGTCAATGTACTGTTGATTGGGTTGCATCTACACAAATTAAACCTGTTTTCTCTTAATTTCGGTGTGTTTATCGTTGTGTTGCAAAGGCTCCTGGGTAGAACTGGAGCTGAATGGTAATACAGGGGCAGAGAGCAGGCAGACCAGCCAGCTGACACCACCTGCTGAAGACCAAATCAACGCAAACGCAGGCATGAGTCAAAGTCTCCAGCCTTTAGAAGAAGGTGAAAGTGACGAAACCCTTATTGGAGGACTGGAACATGTGCCATCGTCATCTTCTATCCACAACGGAGACATGGAAAAAATACTTCTGGATGCTCAGCATGAGTCCAGCCCAAGTAATTCATCCTGTGAGAGGTAGGCCACACATTTTCTTTACTATACTCAGTAAAACTTAAGTATTGATTTTTTTTTTGTTAAATATATATTAATGCCAACACACTCACAGTCCTCACAGGCCGCCAAGTTCCGGACAGGATGATGGCCAGATAACATTTGATGTGGAGATGTCCAGTCCAAGAGGCAGTCAGGTAGGGCTACCAAGAGTACTGACAACTGTGGAACTTTTTTTTATGAGTTTTGTGACATCAAGCCTCAAACATCCATGTGTTTTATGTAACTGACCAGCACAAAGTTGGTCTTAATTGTAAAGGTAGGGTATATGGTTGTTAATAAGCTACACATGTAGTTCAAAAAGATTTGCAGCTGTAATTCTTGCAAAAGGTAAAGTGGTTCTGCAAAGTATTGACTCAGGAGAGATAAATACAAATGCAAGCCAAACTTTTAATATTATATATTGAACAGAGACTCTGCTAAAGCTTTTTTGGGGAGGATTTCTTTCCACATCTTTTTGCCTTTATATTTCCAGTCAGAGGACGATACTGCAGACATGGACAGAGAGGATGACATCTTGATGAACAAAGAAGTTGATTGGGTGGCCAATTGGTCTAGTAGGCCTGAAAACATCCCCCCAAAGTTAGTATGGTGGCAAGCTCAGAATCAGCTGCCCATCGGCATATTCTCCTCAGTGGTCTCAGAAACAACGTTAACTGGTTGTGTGATTGTTCTTCTCAGGGAGTTCCACTTCAGACATCCCCGACGTTCAGTATCTTTGAGTATGAGGAAGAGCGGCGTCATGAAGAAAGGTGGCATCTTCTCCGCTGAATTCCTAAAAGTTTTCATTCCTTCCCTGTTCATCTCACACATGCTGGCTCTTGGCCTTGGGTAAGACGGGACGTCAGTTAGTAGTTTCAAAATATTGCGGGGATTTTCTTTGCGCTTGCTTTTCTTGTTTAGTTCATAGTTAATAGTTTCTCAAAAATCATATTTTTATGCATGGATGTAGGAATTACTAACAGGACAACAATGCAAATTCTGTGTCTGTCTTCACAAAGAGGGCGTAGAGAACGGAAATGACTTGAAATAACGTTTAAATCAAATATGGGAGGTACCTTGTACGAATAAAGTTACTTATCCTTGTTTTAATTATTTGTCCAGTATTTTTTTTAGTTTTAATAAAACTAAAAAAAAAATGTATTTCACATGTTTGATGATTTTATTTTAGGGTGTACATTGGGAAAAGAATTGCCACAGCCGCCACCAGCTCCTACTGAGCAGAAGATGAAGCAGTGCCTGGGTGTTCTCCTGTCTCCAAGCCTCCCAAACGCCTCCTGAAGTCAAGCTCTCACTCTGTGCATCTGTCCCACACCCACGTCTCTCTCTTCCAATCTGCATTAACTGGTGTCACACTGTAGATGTAGTCATGCTGATTATGTGGTTGCACTCCACCAGGTTTTGACACGGAGGGAGGGGGGCTTTATCGTGTATGCGAGTCACCGGCTTGAATCTAACTCAAAATCTTAACTTGCCACGGACCTTATGTCAGGTGGCATCAAGTTGAAGTTTCCTTTTGTGTCTTGATATTGAACATATCAATCCTGGTATTTCTGCTAAGCTACAGGTTTTCTTTTAGGTATTCTAAAAAGCAGAAAGGAAGACATATGTTATTAACGCCATAACTGCTTTGTGAACTAATTGACTTTGGGGAACAGGAGAGACTTTGATAGCTTGAAAGGTTATGACTTTGCACCAGACTAAGGCCAGCCTACAATCTCCAGGCGTTTTAGGGTCATTTGAATGTCGCTGGATTGCGGCAAAGATGGAATATGTTGGGGTGTCGTCATTGTCTACTGTGAACAGGGCCTTACTTTCAAGGTGCAGTGACCTGCTGTTCAGAGTTGAATGCTGCAGCACTGCTTTTTTTTTTTTTAATTTCGCACAATTTTGAGGATGGTATTCATAACATGTTGATCCCCAGAGGGTTTCTACGTGAACTTTGTTGACTTGTTTTATTACAGTGGCATCTAGAGTGGAAGATAATATACCAGGCCAAAAGCTACTTTTAAGTATTTTTCTTCTGACATATCCCTTTTTTTTAAACATATAGGAGCAGTAGTAAAGTGCCAAAACATTTACCTTTCACAACTGCATATTGGTGGCCTATCTTACGCTTTTTAATTTGTTCGTTTTGTTTTCTTATATGTTTATATATTTAATTATGTACATGTGAAGATTAATTTAAGCTGTGACCTTCCCTATGCTATGTACACCTCTCAACATTGTATAACTTGTTTATACATTGATTGTTAATGCATATTACAGTATATCTTATGCATTGTGGCAGTGTGAGTATTGTGTTTTTGCTCAGTTGCTAGGGCTTTAGCTGCATTAAATCACCACCACAGAGGTGGTGATTTAATGGGATTTAATTTTTGGGGGCCTATTTCAGAAATGTTATCTGACTTTAATCTTGGTTTCACTGTACAATAATTTCACCTAATATATAGTATATGTACAGTGTCTGTGGACCATCCAGTATGATGACATAGAAACCGTTTATTAAGGATAACGTATGCATTTCTGTATGTTGATGCTCATTGCATGTCTCCTCTGTTCATGAATGATAACCATATAAAAATATAAAGTACAATGTACAAAACTGTCCGTTTTGGTTTCAGTCCTTAGCTGTGATGTGTGATTTGGGTTGCCAGCCATAAACTGCAGGGTTGGTCCTAACAGATCTATGTACAGTATATCTGTGTGGAGTGAAGAGCATTTTGGAAATTAAGTATGACTCATACAGTAAACATACATTAATATTTAATGAATATTACAAATGGGAAAGCTGGAGGTCCAGCGATTGGAAAAGCCAACATTCAAAGAAAAAAATAGTGGTTAAGATAAAAAAATAAAAATAAATCCTTGAGAGTGTGGCATCTTGGAAGAAAAGTACACAGGAACATGTAAACTCTTTGCAGAAAGGTTCAGATTGGACCGTTGTTGTTGCACAGCAAGAGAGTTGTACCAGGCTGCTGATAGAGATAATGCCAGAAACACAACTTATGCTTCTCTTTTTGTTTATTAGCCGTTTGGAGCAAGACAAAGGGAGGCAGCAAGACAAGAGTAGAAGCGATGCAGACCTATGCTATTGGCCAGAAATACTTAAAATTTCCTTTGTACTGTTTGTGCTGGCATTGCATATTTTTCTGCTCCTGTCCGACAGAAAAAATAATCTTATTTCATTTTAATCCATATGAAAACAGAGACATTACATAAAAAAAAAAGAAAATTAGAAGTGTTACAATATTATGAAGATTTACAAACTTAATTCAATCCAAGACTAAATTAGTTCAAATACTGACTTGGGAAACACACTGAATTGAAATGAGATTTCCATAATTTACATGATTCATCTTTGCTGTTAAATGTTGCTAACTGGTTTTGTCCTATATTACATACTTGTCAATTAGTTTATTTGCACTAGTTGAGTTGAAGCGCATTGAAAAGTAATAATCTTGTACATGACTCCCACTGAAAGGGCTGCTTTAGCTCAAACATTCTTCTGGATAAATTGATCACAGTCAGATGTTGTAGTAGGATTGATACTGTTTGTATTTCAACCTAAATGTTGCCATAGGGACGGCAACATGGATCCCCGGATCACGGAGCAGTAAGATGTGCAGGGCGGGGCACTGCGCATGCTCCGTCCCTCTTTGTGGCCCTTGTCATTTTGGTGGCTTTATGGTCTGCAGAGACCTGGTCTAGCCGTAAATGTAGAGATTCTCCTCTGTTAGGCAAAAGCTAATCTCATTGTGCAGCATCATCCTGGCTACCCAGCGCACGTTTAGCTGGCCGTCGTTATAAATAGTCGGGGACAGACAGTGTTGAGCCGGGGCGTCGACTGGCCGAGAGGCAGAGCATCCATTCATCCTTTTGATAGGCAGCTAGCGTTAGCCTCAACTAAAACCAGGGGGGCAGCGGTGTTGGGGGTTCAATTTCAACATGTCCGGCTACCAAGGAAAGAAGAACATCCCCAAAATTACAGTGAGTGATATGCGTGTGTTTTGTTTCTCTGTCTCTGTGGGTAAGAATTAGCTGGAAGCTAGCTGTTAGCTGCTGCGGCCGTTCATTTACACTGGCGCTGTCAGCAGCAGCAGCAGCTACAGCAGCTGCTGCTCCTCATCAGCTGCAGGCCAGGGATGAACAGGAAGAACAATTCACTGGATTTGTCACTTGAAGCTACCTTCTATTGTAAATGTGTGTAAGGGAAGGTGTCTCTTATTCCCAGCTTCCTCGTCAGCCTCTGGTGTAGTTACCAGGTTAAAAAAAAACAGATTCCTTCACAGCTGTCAATTCATCTGTTATTTTTCACCTTCTTTCCATTTATGTCAGCATTTAGCCTTCTTAATGTGAGATTTACAATTTTTTTTCTTCATCCATAACATCAGGTGAATGAAGTTCCATTGTATTTAATTGTAAGATAACTAAACCCCTGTAAAGTAGGTCAGCAGAAAGCATCTCTGCAGACGCCATGTCTTCATTATGGAGCTGTCACAGTCAGAGCGCTGGGACTCCTGGAGATCGGTGGACTTTAGAAGTACTGGCCAGACTTTCCTGCAAAATCAGTCAAACTTCAGATGCCTGTGGTTGTCATCCCAAACAGCAAGAGACAGCAGATCAGAGCTCTACTGAATGTGGCAATATTTCAATTCATGTTTTGTTTTTTTTATCATACTTGCAAGATTTATTTGGGTTCATTTTTTTAAAGGTTTTGGCTTGAAACAGTTTGTGAAATACACCAGGTCAGATTTCATTTTCACTGCCTGTTTTGAACCAAGTTGTTCCAGTAAAAACAAAAACAAACAAACAAACAAAACAAAACAAAAAACTACATGGCCTGTTTAATTTAGATAATTTTTAAAATATGTAAGTTCTGGCACATTTCTACCAGTTCAAGTTCTGCAGGCGATCAGAAGGGGTTGCATTAGTTTCACCACCCACAGCAGTATTGATCATGGGTTGGTAGCTATTGGAGACAATCACAGAAGGTTGAACACCTTGCTTAAATGCCACATGAATGCCTCAGAGTCGATTTCATTATTTTAAAGGTTGCTGTCTGCCATAGTGTTTACTAATGGTAATTGATCAGCTGTTTTCTGGTACCTCTTGTGATGTCATCAACCTAAACACATCCAAAGCAGTTACTAGTTTTATTTACATTTTCAAATCTTACTATTTTGTGAAATCTCACTGTGGCAATTTATAGTTTGTTATCCAGCTGTGTTTTGCAGTAACACTAGATAGTAGCTCTAATTTGCTCAGCTCATTCAGGTAGTTTGAGGACATCTGCAGGTCAGCTGAGGGTTGTAAGCAAACAACTGGAAAATCCTGGGCTAAGTGTGAAGACAACAACTCCATGCTCTGTGTTAGAGCGTCAGGACAAAGTGAAGAACAAAACACCAAGAAGTCTAAACTTAGTCTTTATCTTTCATAGCAACTATTATTTTTTAGTTAAAATTAAAGACAATACCCAATACTCAATTTTCTGCCAAGTCATACGTTTTTTTCTAATGGTACATAAACAGATTCTTCCACAGATACAGTTTTGAAACAACAACCAAACATTTTTTACACAAATTCCCCTGATTGTGCATTGTAGTATGTTTTTTCTTTTTTCTTTGTTCATTTAAAAAATACCCAAGATGTATTGTGGGAATTATTAGTTTTGATGCATTCAGTGCACTGAGAGAAAAGCAGATTTTTCTTTGGTATTTAACCTGTCAATTAAGAGGTAATTATCCATTTCTGATCTCTGGTAGATTGACTGGTGCAGTTTTCTGATTTGATGTGCTAATAATAACACCATAGTAATGAGGCTCCCTGCATTTTAAGTCATTGATTTGTAATCATCAGGTTTTTTTTCTGTCATGTTGGGTTTCCTCAACCATCTCAACTTGATAAATTCTGGATTAAAGTAAGGTTGAAAATTTTGCCGTTTTTGCTCAAACTAAAATCACAGGCTCCTTTTATTGACCCTCAACTTTTTACTTGGTAGGTTAATGTCATCGTAACCTGCTCAGTTTATAGCTGTCAGTCTATGGAGAGTTTGAATGAACCATCTTTAACTAAGAATAGTTTTAAAGGTGAAACTTTCCTACTGCTGACCACTTAGTCTAAAACGTTAAAGTTGTATAACCCAAATCCTTTTTACGTCGGTGGTTTCTATACCTAATGCATCCGTATTCCTCATGGCTACAGCCTTGAAAAACCAAGCCCTGGAGAATACATATACTGCCTTCATTAGGTTTAAATGCCTCCCTCAGAGGGCCCAGAAAGCCTGCAGAAGAAGTAGGGCAGCATGCTGCGTTTTTCTTTCATCTCATTCAGTAGGAGCTAATTGTGGCATGTAGGAGACTCTGCTCTTACTTTATGGTTTTGATCAAAGATTTCTCCTCCTTTGTATAATGAGGAAGGACTGATATGTCCTGCAGAGCAATCTGGAATAGTTTGTTTTCAGAATTAATGGTGTAGAGGATAAATGATAGTTTACTGACTTGACAGTTTTCCAAAACTATCTTGTGTGTAGCGAACGACTTCGTTTGCTCTATGACGAGGTCGGGCTGGCTGGACAATGTGGCTGAAAAACCTATCATGACATAAGCATTTCATATCAGTCTATCTGTAATTGTTGATGGTTATTGATTTGATTTTGCTTTAAATATCTGAACTGCTTCCAGACTACTGACCTTTCTTGTTTTTAGTTTTTACTCCTCATTGTTTTTTATTTTCAACATTATGTATTGAATATTCTTTCAGACGTATTAGTTATTAAATATTCCATCATTGAAGCTAGAAGCGTTTATACTACTTATCAAAGCATATTGACAGAAAGTTTAATGGAAGGAAAAATGCTTGGTTGAAAAAGGTGATTCCTATGACTGAATGAGGTCCTTAAAATGCTGGAATTTTATTTTTAAGTATGCAAGGCCTTCAAGTGCTTGAATATGCATTTGTTCACTGGTTTATCAGGTCCAAAGTCAAATATATTATTGGACGTTTTAGCTTCTTAGATTATAAAAAATAAGAATATGTTTGATTTACAGACAAATCTTGTTTCAGAGTGACCGTCTCCTCATCAAGGGAGCAAAGATAGTGAACGATGATCAGTCCTTCTTGGCTGATATCTACATGGAAGATGGAGTCATTAAGTAAGTTGTGCTTTGTAGTTACCATTAACCCATGTGTGAGCTTATCACAGGGATTCAAGTTCCCACTGTTCTTTGTTTTGTGTTTTCCTCCAGGCAAATTGGAGACAACCTCATCGTCCCGGGTGGAG